ATAACGTTCAAACATATAAACATTTGATTTATCCAGATACATGCTTTGATGTAGACTTCATCTAAATTGTGCACTCGTAATAGCATTTATACTCTACAGAGACATAAACACAAATATTTCAACCTAATACTCATGAGATTAATCTTTCACTCCTAAGACTCAAAAGTCTAGGGTAAAGACCTCCTACCATTCTCTCCCTCACCCCATTCATCTCTACATGAGTTAAATAATTGGTAGAATATCACGATACCTCCTTTCTGAAATAATTGGTAGAATATCATGATCCCTCTCCTTGATATTTTTCTCACATTCTTATATCATCCATACTCACAATCATACACCATTTAATAGGCATCAATAATATTTAACTTAAGTATACTTTAATTTAGTTCAAACAAATCATGAATTAGAAAAACATAGAAACGGATGAAAAGATTTGAAGAAAACAGGTGCCCAACGCTAAGTCTAGCACCAAACGAGCCATGAGTCTTGCTTAGCAAGACAATCTATCGCCCAATGAATTAAAGGAGAAAGAAAGCTCAGACTTGTAGTGAAAAGTGGTACTCAATGTCCAAGACCTCGCTCAACGTCTAGAAAAACAGAGAGCTCACTGACTTCACAACACTCAACGCCTGGAATGGTCGCTCAGTGCCCTGGAGTCCAGTGGCTCTCAGGTTTTGGAGTGTTCAACACTATACTAGAATACAAAAACTTAGAAACTTGATTTAGATGCACTCAAGACCTATCCAAATGACCTAATTAGTATTCTTAACACTGTAATTGATTAGAAAACATGTTTATATCTCAAATTGAATACAAATTTGCCCATTTGGCTAAGAACTAAATCCATCAAATCAAGCCAACTACCCAAAAGCACTAATATCATATTTCACACTATGCAAACCAGATTTATGCAACATAAAAGGTCAATCAAATCTTAAATGACATGAGAACAAACTTCAAGACTCAAACTTACTCAAATAACAATTCCTTTAGAGTTTCACCTATAAAAACTCCAATTTTAAACCAAAAACCAACCATTCTTCTAACTTATTATCAATCCAAAGTTCAACCGTAACTAATCAAAACAACAAATCTAATATTTACCATTCATCAAGAATCAAATATAATTCAACAACTTGTTCACAATAACTCATTAAATTCAACTCAACAAACCAAAATTCATTAGACAATTCAATTCCTTAAACCAACTCTTATATCATCATAGAAACATTAATTAAAACTTGTTTATTTGTTAAAATCAAAATAATTAGCAGACTCCATTTACTGATGCATATATTACATTTTAAATTTGAATCTGAAGTTTATATTTATGTTAAATATTCTAAGCAAAAACTTTTAAATTCTACCAATATAATAAAAATATACTATAAATGTTGTTTAATTATATCTTCTGTATATGTTGTATCTCTTAATATTTGTTATGTAGTTATCTTGGTATTCTCTTTACTAATTAAATGGCATTTTAGTCTCTGCAGTACCCTTTTGATATGGTGCCAACACCATAGCTTAGAACGTGATTGGGCTCTCCTTTCAAATGTCTTTGAAACCGCTTTCCAATCTGTCTACAACTAATGAATTTGTTTAATGTCTTTAAGGGTGTGTTCACTTGAACAGAAAGTACTGTTCAAGAGTATTTGAGAGCGAAGAAATGCGATTTGTTTTATGTTCACTTGAGACGAATGGCGCGGATTTGCAGGAGATGAAAGACGCGGATTTGCGGGATTTATAAATTTTTCATCACCTGCAAGAGTGCAGCGATTTCGAAGGATTAACGATACAATATCTTCTTTACCCTTTGCCTATTATATAATTCCAACCCAAGTCCTGAAGCTTACGTACATCGATTCTAACAATGAAATAACCAATTCCATATGAAGATGATGGTTGGAGATGAAGTTTAAAGCTGAACAAGATGAAGAACAGTGGCTGAAATGAAATATTTTGGAGGTGTATTCGGTTCCCTTCCACTCGTATTCGGTTCCAGAGGTGGGAAGAATTTACATGGCACCTGTATTCGGTTCCCAGTTGCTGTTATTCGGTTCCCGTTATTCACAACCATTGTGTATTCGGTTCCCAAGCACGATGTTCGATTCCATGTGTGTTTGGCTTGACGTTTGACTAACAGTGTTTTCGGTTCCAACGTTGGAGCATTTCCAAGCTTCGAAGCTTCGTGGTAGAGGTGCAGGTGCCATGTTCGACGAAGCTGGAGGTTGCTTTGGTGGTGGACGCTGGATTATATGCGACGGAGGTGGAGGATCCAACTTCCTTGGCTTCCGGCCAGAGATCCACTGTCACCAACACATTTCTGCATGTTCAAGCAATCCCAAGAGCCAACACAAAATAAAGAGAAATTTGGTTGTAAATAAGAGGAATTATTAAAATGAGGAACCACACACTTCATACAAAAAAATGACACTCTCAAGATAAAAAAAAGTAAGCACAACCAACAACTAAAAAGCTTGAAAATAAGCAGACAAAAATGAGAAAGGTGAGGACTTGATTGTTGAAAGAGAGGAAAGAACACACATGTATCTTCTTCAAAATCTCCTTTACTCATGTCTTATCAGGCAATGAAGAGAAATGATTGTGATTTGTAAGAGATAAGGGAAATGCAAAAAGGGTGGTAATAGATATGAGAAACCAAGTCGGGAAAAAAAAAAAAATAAGCTAGAGAGGTTCATCCAATCTCGGACTTATCCTCTATAACCCTTGGAACCAAACACACACCCTTCAAACTCAGCAACAGCATTACCCGTGTCTCTTTCTGCAAAGACGTGTAGAAGAAAGAAGAAGTTTTCTCTATATTTTCTTTCTAATCTTTCTTTTATTCTTTAATATTAGTGCAATGCATTATTATTATTATTATTCTATTTGTAATTGATTATTTATAACCAATAAAAATGCATTTTATTTGATGTATTAAATTGCTTCTAAAATTTAGAAGCTAATATATAAATATTTAACAACATTTAATATTATATTACAAAAAAATATTAAATTATATTTCTAATACATAAATATTTAACATCATTTAATATTATATTACAGAAAATTATTAAATTATATTACAAATCATATGTAGTAAATTATATTACAAAAAATATTAAATTTAAAATAATTTTATTTTACTAAATTATATTTAATTTAAAATAATCAATCTCACTTCTATAACAAATAAATTCATATTACTTGGTAGTAAATTATATTACAAACAAATATTACATTTAAAAATAAATTCATTTTACTAAATTATAATTTTTTTTACTTTTTAATAATTATTTTTAATTTTTTACTCTTTATAAACATTTTTACAATTAAATATAACATTAACAAATATCATTTTATATTACTTTAATAACTATGGACATTATGATAATCTTTAATTTATACCAATTAAACAAATTTTTTAAATCTGTCACATCAATCAAATCCTACACTAATTCTCATAAACTTTACTTCCAAATCCACTCAAATAAACAACAAAAAAATTTAGTATCAAATTCCTTCAAATCCATTTAATCACTCTCTCCCAAATCATCTCCTTCAAATCATCTCAAGTAAACACACCCAAAAGGCGTATCTCAAATCGAGAAGAAATATTTTCCATTTATCTGCCTCTCTTAAACCCTAGGGAGCATAATCCTTTCATGTGTTAGTTTTCTCTTGAGTTTTGATAAGGTAATATTTATTCTTATGTTCTAATGTTAGACGTTTTTTATGTTTATGAAACCATGTACGGAGTGCCATAGTTTAATATTTGATTGTTGTCCTGTTTTGATGTTTCTATTTAACAGAAAATTCTTACATGGTTGGTAAGCTAAGTTTGTGAAGTTTGGATTTTTCTTTTGTTTTTATTACCCTATTTTTTTCTGTTTTAATATAATGTTTTCTTTGGTCGTTTAAATTATTTTATGAAATGACAAGAGAATAAACATTTCCAATATTTAATAAAAGAAAATGAAATTTAAATTTAAACTATTGAGAATATTTTTTTATAAAAAAAAAGTTATCTAATTACTAAAATATTTCACAGTAATTTAATGTTAAGAGTGAAAGAGCATAAACTACAGGCTGTCCCAAATTATATAAATGATTATGTCCGTTCAAGAGAATTAAAACTAAATAAATAAATATTCACTAATTGAGTTCTGAAACAAAACTCACATAAAGTCACGTGGCATTGGCTTTCTGGATAAACTAGACCCCACCCATGACTCACATTATTCTCAAACTTCAACCACGTGAAAGTGTACAGATGGAACTGCTGCGCCAAAAAATATACCTATTAATATTTATTAGTCAAGATATAATTAAAAAGTATAGTAGTTTAAACATTATGATTTAATTGTGACTAAATTTATTTGGTCTTTTCCATCAAACGATTGATGCCACCAACAAACATCAAAGCAAATTTACCGTTTAAAACTCTAGAACCTTCAATCTTTTTATTTCATAATTAGACGAGTGGTCAATTTTTCGTTAGACCCTTTATCAAAATTATCAAATTCAAAATTAAATATAAGTACTCAATTGAAAGAAAAAAAATAATCAGAAACGTAATTAAATTTTGTCAAATAGTTTAGCATCTCTTATTTACTAATTTAATTTAAAAACTGGTATTATTCTAATATAAATTATACTGTCTCAACAGCGAACGTTTTACTCTCAGGAAAAATCTCGCTGTCTGATTTCCCAATGTCATTGTCAAATTAGAAGAGGTCATTGATGTTCTAATATAATTTAACTGCACGTTGGTGTTCTTTTTGCAAGAATCATTGGTAAATGTAGAATGTGATGATGATGATGAAGCAGCAGCATGATGGAGATATTTATATACATAATAGGGATAAATTGTGATTTGCATGTTAACATACACAGTATAGTGGTTAGCTCGGTTTTCAGCTTCATGCTGAAATTTGAGAAGCGAGGGTTGTTATACATCGAGCCAAGAAGCGTTTCATGCTCCTTTTGAGTTCTCATTTTCCAACACAGGTATCTTCATTGTCGATGACATTGTAGTACAAGGAAGATACCATGCCATCAAACTTTGAAACTACTTGATGAGTTGATAAGCCACAATATCGTTTCCCCAGACGAGCAATAAAGATATCCACGATCTTCTTGAACATGGAGTCTTCTTGGATCAGTGGTTGCTCTACAAACTCAACCAGAGGCATCCACTGCATCACATCACCCATAACAGTTTTTTGAAACTCAGATCAGTGAAACTTTGAATGCAACAAGACATATAAGGATACCACCTCAGTAAAAGTTTCCATTAATTGTATTCATGAGTAAGAATATCTCACCTTTGCTGCTTCAATTTCAAGATCATCAACAATGATCTCAGATGACAGGGGTCTTAGCATGCAGATGAAGAACAAATCTGACTTCTCAAAGGCCACATTATGAGCATGCCTACAATTGATGAAGAAATACATCAGACCTTGAAGATAAATACAACAAAACTGTGGCAGTACTGAAATAAAAGGTAAATCATGTACCACTCTCACCTTACTAGATTCTGTCACTAAGTACTTTAACCCATCCAGTAATCCAATTACTATAAATTATTTACTATGAATCGAGTATATAAACAGAATGAATAGTTATAGTTTCAAATTTATTTTATTAAAGAAAAGTTCCACTTTCTTGATGGCTGGGAGTATGAACGGAGTTGTTACCTAAATGCTATGACTTCAATGAACTCTGTATCGATCTGCAACATAAAACAGCTAGCATAAAAAGAAAGCCCCTCGGAGAATTGAAACTTAGCATACAACCCCATGAATAAATTCAATTCCAATTTGCACCCCAGGAAAACATAAAATTTCATCAAACTTACCCCAGTTTCCTCCTTCACTTCTCTTACAGCTCCAGTATATATCTCCTCTACCTCTGTCCCTTATACACATCTATCATTAGTAAATGTAGAATATGATGATGATGATGAAGCAGCAGCATGATGGAGATATTTATATACATAATAGGGATAAATTGTGATTTGCATGTTAACATACACAGTATAGTGGTTAGCTCGGTTTTCAGCTTCATGCTGAAATTTGAGAAGCGAGGGTTGTTATACATCGAGCCAAGAAGCGTTTCATGCTCCTTTTGAGTTCTCATTTTCCAACACAGGTATCTTCATTGTCGATGACATTGTAGTACAAGGAAGATACCATGCCATCAAACTTTGAAACTACTTGATGAGTTGATAAGCCACAATATCGTTTCCCCAGACGAGCAATAAAGATATCCACGATCTTCTTGAACATGGAGTCTTCTTGGATCAGTGGTTGCTCTACAAACTCAACCAGAGGCATCCACTGCATCACATCACCCATAACAGTTTTTTGAAACTCAGATCAGTGAAACTTTGAATGCAACAAGACATATAAGGATACCACCTCAGTAAAAGTTTCCATTAATTGTATTCATGAGTAAGAATATCTCACCTTTGCTGCTTCAATTTCAAGATCATCAACAATGATCTCAGATGACAGGGGTCTTAGCATGCAGATGAAGAACAAATCTGACTTCTCAAAGGCCACATTATGAGCATGCCTACAATTGATGAAGAAATACATCAGACCTTGAAGATAAATACAACAAAACTGTGGCAGTACTGAAATAAAAGGTAAATCATGTACCACTCTCACCTTACTAGATTCTGTCACTAAGTACTTTAACCCATCCAGTAATCCAATTACTATAAATTATTTACTATGAATCGAGTATATAAACAGAATGAATAGTTATAGTTTCAAATTTATTTTATTAAAGAAAAGTTCCACTTTCTTGATGGCTGGGAGTATGAACGGAGTTGTTACCTAAATGCTATGACTTCAATGAACTCTGTATCGATCTGCAACATAAAACAGCTAGCATAAAAAGAAAGCCCCTCGGAGAATTGAAACTTAGCATACAACCCCATGAATAAATTCAATTCCAATTTGCACCCCAGGAAAACATAAAATTTCATCAAACTTACCCCAGTTTCCTCCTTCACTTCTCTTACAGCTCCAGTATATATCTCCTCTGCCTGAGACAATATTCAAACAGGTAAGTGATAAAGAATTCAAGTTGAAATAGAATTACAGAAATGAGATAGCCATTTAACAGCATCTCTAATTTGGTCTTTATATTTCATTTCAAGAGCATTTAAAGAAAATTAAGTGAAGGTACACGTTAAATACCTCAAGAATGAATCCGGTTGGTATCTTCCAAAGACCAAGAGTTGCTGGAGAGCAGTGTTTCTCTTGTACTACAAGCACCTTCATAAATTTTTAAACAGAAAATTACACAAATATCAGTTTCTGCATGATTTAAATGTGTTTGCTTCCGTCTAATGTTTACTATATTAGAAGCAACCATACTTCATTTTTGTCGTTGATGACAAACCCACCAACTCCAACTTGATGAGAGGCATTCGCTGGAAGCATGCTGGGTCCTTCAGGAATCCAGTAAGTTAACATCACATATCCTGGTTCGGCATGGTGGTATTGGAAGCCTTCCTGAGACCAAAATGAGGTTACTAATAAGCTAACATTTGCATATCTATTTTGTTTATTTTGTCAATAGTAGATATGTTAAAAGTTGAGTTACCTTAACAGCAATTGGAACAAGGTCAGATTGCTCTAACTGCAACTTAAGCCAAATTCCCTTTTTTCCCTGTAAATGATCAGATATCTTAATGCATAACATAGAAGCAGACGCAGTCTCAAAATATAAAGTAAATGGAAAATACTGATATGTCTTTGTTTTCTCAAACATGACTTGTTTCAAACGAAGAAACACCAGAATCACATTAAGAGGTGACTGATTTGCAAGTAGCACAGTTCATGTTAGGGAGGATGAAAACATGGACAGAGAATTTACCATCTTTTTCCACTGAAAGAGAGACAAACGCAACAAAGATGCGAAGGTATATGGGTTGGATGGTATCCTATCTGAATCAACGACAACTCCCCCATATTCATCATCAAAAGCATCAAGTACTCTCAGATTTCTGTAATAGAAGCTCGAAGTTGAGCCATTGGTTCCGTTAATTCTACGGAAACTCGTTTCTGCTGCAAGATTATCTTGACCAACTGAACTACTTACAACTTCATTTGTGAAATATGCCTTGTCCGAACCACTGTAAGTCCTCAGAAACAACCCTGAAATTAAACATTGGAAGGCATTAAACTCACAGTCCTATTCGACCCCCAAAAAATCCAAAACAATTTTTTTTTTTCAAACAAGAAGCATATCTTCCCACATTCTTTGAAGTAGAAAAAAGGGGGCATCAAATACTAGTAAAAATGTCAACTTTAGAAACGAATGAACGAAATTAACCATGGCTTATACCTACCTCATCAGCTACAATTAGTTCAGATATTCAGTTTTACTGATAAAAAAACTAAAACAAGAAGCTCAAACTAACAAGCAGGTCCAGTATCATAAAAAGAAATAAAAACAACGAAAATCAAAGGGGAAAAAAATAGAAGAATAAAACCTCCGAGAATTTGGGCAATTGTTAGTTACCTCTGCGGCACTTGAAGTGGGTAGAAAATTTAACTCCAACTTTGTGCCTGAAAGTGGAGATGAAAGTAGAATAGGATCTTCCAACACGGGCAACATCAAATGTGGACACAGAACTAGAAGAGAACGATTTGAGCTCCATCTAAATCAGAGGTCCGAACTCAACTCACAACCCAAATCTCACCTATCTGACACAAGCACACTGAATCACTGTCCAAATGTAACTATGCTATGGAGGGTAACCGCGTACATACAACAATCTTAACGAAATTCTAAGCAACCTTAGCAGGTATCGAACCTTGACTTGACTAAAGAAACATCACGGTCATGGTCGTGATCATGCTCATGGGACTCATCGTTTTTTCTGAGCGGACTATACCTTCTCTACCAATGCTAGAGTCAAGAAGCTTGATAAGCCAACTAGGGTGCCAACAAATTATACAAGATATAATTTCAGCACAATCCACATTGGGACAACAAAGCTAGTTTTGACGGCCAATGGCTACTCAAATTAGTGGTGCACATTGAAAAGATGTGTGGTTTGTGGTGTGGAGTCATATAAATGTCCAGAATATCACCAGGAACAAACGCAACAAAAATTGAAAGTTTGTTAATTTCTTTCTTTGTCGGGAATTATAATATAATAAGTTATACTATAGTAATAAATGGAGAAAACGAGGGAAGTTATTTATTCAGGTTAATGATAGCGGAGTGCTCTATAGCATTTGAGAGACCGTGATTAATTATTCTACTGTCAAACTTTTTAATTTTTAAATTCGCTTTATATTATGAATGTGGCTTCTTTTACTCAAAGATAATGTTTTATACATTAATCATACTATTGGGAGGATATTCTTTGACAATTCCAGAGAGAATATCCATGACATAAATAAAAAAACACTTCCCAAATTAATAATATATTAGAAAATACTTTTAATTCACTTATTAAGTATTATTTTTTTATTAATTTAATAAATTTTAAAAAGGTAGATTTATAATTGAGTAATTATCTAAGATTATCAATACAATTTAGAAAATTTAATGACATTAATGATGGAAATGGCAATCATAAAGCCAAATTATAATATATAAGTGAGATGCAAAAATCAAGACGGTTTTGTAAAGTTGATTTAGGCTTAAAATTCACTTTCTAATAATTAAATTTGTTTTTATTTGTTTTCTCTTCAATTTTAGATTAAGATGCATTTTATATCTAAATTCTGTTTTTTTTATCACATTATATAATCTAAGTTAAATACGAAAAAATATTTTTGAAAGATTATTTAAATGCTTATACATTCCATTTTTTAAACAAAATGTAAACTTGTTTCTTGTTTAAGATTATCATCAATATGTCAAAAATAATTGTATTCATGGGTATTTTAAATAAAACTAAGGTAAATAATTGATATTTATGAATATTTATTATATCTGAATAGTTAATGGAGGTATTTTAAGTTTTTTCTATTAATAAGTGAAATGTGAATATTTACCCGTATATCAAGTATTTATTATTAAAAAATTAAAATTGAAAATATTTTTTAATAAATTAAATTTAATTAAAAATTAAAATTAATTTATATTTTATTAAATTTAATTTAATTAAAATTAAATTTTAATTTATATTATATTTTACATATTTTTTAAAAATTTATTTTAAAAAATTATATTTTTTTTAATATTCATATATTTTATATAGATATATAGAATATTATATAGAGATATATGAAGGTAGTTTTTACACTAATATCCAACTTGTAATGAATCATATAATAAATAAAGTTTTTTATTTTTATCGGTAACAGATAAGCAGTATATGCCGTTTTCATCTCTACATCCAAGTTTACATACAAAGTAGAAAATTGATATATAAAACATTATTCTTCTCAATCAAATCGTTATATTTTGTAGTCTTCCAAAGTTCTTACGATAAATTCCATATTCTTCAATTAAAAGAAATTTTGAAATTAATATATTGTCTCAACGAGAAATTACGGCAAAAAAAAATTGTTCAAAGTTACTAGTAGTAAGCCTTTTGACAAGAAAAACAAAAATAAAATGCCGCGTTAATGATTTCACAGTTTTAATAGCACCGCGACTGGTGGAGAGTTATTATAAATGAGAATTGGTTAATTGCGCGTACTAACTTTCCACACGTGAGATAGAAATGTCTATTTCTTTATTTTATTTTCAGGACTTAAATATATTTTGTTTTCAAATTATTACGAAAAATGATTTGGTTTTATGTTTTAAAATTTGTATAAATCGTGTTCTTCCTGTAAATGAAAAATATTTTTAGCAACTAATGGTGTTAGAATATTTCACTTCTTTCTCTAATTTTTGTCATCAGTGTAACTTTTTCTTTTTTTTATTGTCTTTTATTGTAATAATTTTATTTTAAGTGAATGAGCTAGAAACTGGAGATTGTTATAGGAACATGTTACGGAGATAGGAGTTGATGACTTTGTAGTTGGAGGTAAGGTAATGTAGTATTGTAGAAAAAGTTGAAAAAAAAAATATAAATAAGAATTTTTTAGAGCGCGTAGATTACTATTCTTAGAAACTTATTTATTATGTATTGCGTAAATCTTCATAATACAACAAAAACTTTTTAGAAATTTTGTAAAATATTAGAATTATCAAAGAAAACTCCCTTAGAAAGGAAAAAGAATATTCATAATATTATAAAGAAAAATATAATAAATGAGAAAGTGAGAGAGAAAAAAGAATACAATAAAAGAATGTTGAGTGAGAGAGAGCATCTTAGGGACTTTTTTCCTTCTTCAAAAGGAGGAAGCATGAGTTTTATTTATAGAGTTGAAAACTAGTCCTAAGGTTCATAGTTATCAAACTCACGAGTTAACTCGTTAACTCGGACGAGTTTACATTTTCAGACATAGCTTTCGAGTTAATTCAAAAGTAAACTCGTTTTATACGTAAATTTAGTAGAATTGACTGTAAAATCAGTAGGATCGTGTAGAATCGCGAGTTTGGAGCTATTATGTGAGCTTGAAAGGGAGAAAATTAAGAAAAACAAGGTCGCTTGGGGTTTAGGGTTTCATGACCTGATTATGGCCATCGTCATCGCTTCGCCTCTTTCAGGTCGTCGTCGCGTGCTCTAGATTGCACTCCGTTCACGCTCTATCTGTGCTCCTTTCGTGGTCGTTGTCATATCTGTTTCGCGCTCGCCGTCACGCCTACCATCACGCTCGTTGTCGCGCATAATGGTCTCGCCTCCTAATCTCGCCTCCTTCCTACTGCGTCACTCACTGTTGAGTGAAGTTTTTTTTTTTTAACAAAGTTGTGAGATGAACACTGTTTTGGTTTGTAATAAGTAAATAAAATTATTTTTCTAAACAATAAAACCTAAGTCCTTTACCACTGCTACAGTTCTTTTTTTATTATATATTTAATGAAATGCATCAAAATTAATGACAATAATTCAAATATTTATGTTTTACAATATTTAATTTTATGAACAATATATCTATGAATTTTATTTATTTAAAGTTATATAATTTTGTAGACTTATTTAAATTAAGATATTATTCATATGATTTGTTTTTCATGTGAAGTAAACTCTTACGAGTTTACAAGTCAAGTTTACTCGACTCTCACGAGTTTACTTAACTTTCAAGTTTGATAACCTTGATAAGGCTCATGACTTGCGGAAAAATCTCGCAAGATATATGGTCAAAGACCGTTTTAAACAAATAAAAAGGAACGTTGAAGTAAAACTAGTGCCTTCACTTGTCGATGAATCTTCTGAAATCCCAATCCTTTCGGTTTTGACCACGTGAACATGCAACGTTCATAAAATAACTTTTATAATATATGTGTGTGTGTGTCTGTTTGACAACATGTAGGACATGGAGGGTAAATGTTTAGGATCTGAGGCTCCTTGCATCTATGTCTCCCATGACAATTAAATCAAGTGACAATGTAAATTATGAGCAGAAGCTGAAGAAGAAGAATGAATTGTTCTAAAAAGAGAAGTTGAAGTCACAAATGTTTTTCTTAACACAATTAATGTTATTGTTAAAATGACAAAGTGTATAGTTAATGAAGTAAGGATCATGAGTTCAATCTCAATCGTTTATATTTTGGACTAATTGGTGAAAAAAGGTCAAGTTGTCAATCTGGCAAGAGGTCTGCATATCAAGAAGAGTGGTGTAGTGGGTGGATATAAGGAAGTGGGAAAGGAGTTTTGATGAAGTGATATTAGAAAGGACAATATGAAGAGTTGGGGAGTGATGACGAGCAAGGGCATAGAAAGAGAGGTGGGAGCATGTGGTGATTATGGATGATAACGGGTCGGGTATAAATAATGTCTACTTATAATATACTCACAACCAAAAAATATACTCGTTATTTGTAAGATACCCGTATAAAAAATATCCATGAGTACTTTAAAACATGTAGGTATTTGTAGATATTCGGAAATATTTAAAAAAGTATTTTATAAATTTTTAAAATAAAATTACAAAATAAAATATAATATAACTTAAAATTTAATTTTAATTAAAATTAATTTTAATTAAAATTAATTTTAATTTTAATTAAATTTAACTTGATAAAATATAAATTAAATTTTAATTTTTTGTAAATAATAAATACTTGTAAATATATATAGTATAATATCTATATTTGACTTATTTATAGGTGAATATTAAAATATTTACTAGTGATCGATAATAAATACCTACACGTTCTAACTATGCGCTGCAAATACCTTTGTTATTTCTAATTATTACTGAGACATGAGAGAGAGAGAGAGAGAGGTAGAGAGGCTGATGAAGGGAAGAGAAGAATGAAGAGACTATAAAATTATGAACGCCAATATTTTAACATATATGAGAAATGTTAGGAAAAATTGTTCATCACAAAAACTCTTGCTATCACTAGAAAGAGAGGAGAATAAACCTTACAAAAAGAAAAAGAGATTCTAATGTTAAGTGTCACTTGTTGTTAAGAGCATTTTATATTTTTTATAAAATGTCGATATAAAGTTTATACATTCTTTAAAACAGAAACAAAATATAATTTTAGTGAATAATTGATTAAAAACATATTTAATAATTTATTTTACCTGTATAAATTTAGTTTCAGAATGTGCAGTTCAGCAAATGTTGGAAAAATAAATATGAACAATTATATATATATTAAAAATATAATATACTGTTTGATTTATATCAAATTTTATATAAATACTTATCAAAACAAAAAACGCTTCATTCAATCTTTAAAATTAATTTTGTAAAAAAAAAATATCCCAAACTTGTACTTTAGAGTTAGCGGATGGCTCTCCATCTTTATATAGATAACATTATCTTTTAAGAAAATATTGAAAGGTGTAAAGATGATGGTGATTAGCTGGACCCGGTTCATTTATTTGCTATATTAAATAGATTGCAGAACCAAGTTCTATCATGTTTTTTGTTTCATGTAAGACAAAAAAGTTTCATTCCCTACTGACCCAAAATTCACTATAAATTCAAAATCCCTTATTCTGTTAATGTG